ATGCTGCGCTATGCTATGCTATGTTGGGCTATGCTATGATATGCTATGCTGCGCTATGCTACGCTATACTATGCGGTGCTGTGCTCTACTATGCTAAAGCTCAGCGAAGCTAGTATGAAGGTAAGCTAAGCTAAGATAGACCTGAGCTAAGATGAAGCTAAGCTAAGCTAAGATGGAATAGGCTAAGTTAAGATTCTATAAGCAACGCTAAGCTAAGGGGACGTCACTGGGGGAACCGCGGGGCGGATGCTGGGGGAACCGCCCGGGGCGCTTTTCGCTGCCCGGCTCCTGTAAGCCCAGAGGGTAAGACTCCTTCTAGGCAGAGCCTAGGTAGGGAAGTATACTACGATGTGTCATGATTATAAGCCCAGGGAGTAAGACTCCTTCTAGGCAGAGCCTAGGTAGGGAAGTATACTACTATGTGTCATGCTTCGTGCAACTGCGCCGACCGGGTCAGCGGGGGTTAGCCGTCGAGCCAGGGAGGGAAGGCCGCGGGCAAGGGCCGCGAGTCCTCCGAGGGCTTCTCCCGCGGCAGTGATGTCCAAGGGCGGAGCGTCGCGCGCCCGCCCGTGCTCGTGGGCCTGCTCAGTAAAGAGATGGAGGAGGAGGAGGAGGAGGAGGAGGAGGGAGGAGGAGGAGGAGGAGGAGGAGGAGGAGGAGGAGGAGGAGGAGGAGGGAGGAGGGAGGAGGGAGGAGGGGAGGGAGGGGAGGAGGGAGGAGGGAGGAGGGAGGGAGGGAGGAGGGAGGAGGGAGGAGGAGGAGGGAGGAGGGAGGAGGGAGGAGGGAGAGGAGGAGGAGGAGGAGGAGGGAGGAGGGAGGAGGGGAGGAGGAGGGGGGAGAGGAGGAGGAGGAGGAGGAGGCGGAGGAGGAGGAGGAGGAGGAGGAGGAGGAGAGGAGGGAGGAGAGGAGGAGGGAGGAGGAGGAAGAGGAGGAGGAGGAGGAGGAGGAGGAGGAGGAGGAGGAGGAGGAGGAGGAGGAGGAAGAGGGCCTCCGAGGTGCATCCCAAACGTTCCAGCCCCTTCGGTGCCGGGGTGGGGTCTTCGTCCATTTCTGAACAGTCGGGAGGGGTGGAGGGATCGGAGTTTCTGGCGCTGAGCTCGGCCGGGAGCCATTCAGCGAGTTCGGGGACTGCGCATATCCGAGCCCTTGTGGCCGCGCACAGCTCGTCGGCCCGAGCGGTTGAGAAGCCCCCCGATCGCGCGAGAGAGTCAGCTGGGCTATGTGCGGCTGCGGCGTCCGGCTGCAAGGGGTCGCGGGGGCCGATTTGGTCAACTCGCTAGGTTCGCAGGAGCTCGCTCAGGAGCCACGTTGCGTTATAGTCGGTGGGGCCAGGGGAGAAGGAGAGGCGATGTCCTCTGGGGGCGTATCGACAGGCGGCGCCAGTCAGGTGGTAGAGCATGTCGTCACCTAGCTGGTCAAGGACGTGCGCGGGCACCCTGGTGAAGGCGTGGCCGTTGCGGCCCCGCTACGCAGCCCACTGGGCGTCGCAGGCGGCGGCAGGCGATGCAGGACCAGGGAGTAGGGTCGCGGAGCACCCGGGAACTGCGCGTTTAGCCTCGGTCAGCAGGCGCGAAGAAATCCCCGCCCAGTATGTTGGGGGGCGGGAGTTGGGCGGGCCACGTTGCCGAAGTGTCGTACTCGCCCAGGGCAGGAGCGCCCGCCTGCTCGGTGCCGATGTTGACTGGGGCGTGAGGTTCGGCCGAGCCGCCGGCCTGGCTGAGGGCCCAGCTAAACATGGCGTCCGTGCCCGGAAAACAAACCCGTCCTTGTCCGCTGTCAATTGCAAGGGTGCTGATAGGCAGGTTGGCCGTGTGCTCATCGTGAGGGGCCGCGTGTATCCCGTCTTCGTGTATGTAAGGCCTGAGGTCAATCGTGCCGTCGCGTAGCGGGCGTGCGCCGAGGTTGGACCCCGCGGCCGATTGGGCGGCGGCGTCGAGTGTCGTGGCAGCCTGGCTTCTGGTGCGCACGTGTAGGTAGCTGTGTAGGTCTGGGGGGGGGGTGGCGGACGAGGGTGTCTCATCACCTCGGCCCTGAGGGCCGCGTAGTGTTGTGGAAGTCGGCTAATGGAGAGGAAGCATGCCGCCAGATAATTTCCAGATGTCCTAAAAAATGTGTCAAGCATAGTTTAAGCATGTAAAGACATGTCAGATTTTTTTTAGAACACGTTTTACCCATGTTAAACGCACTTTTAATTCAACGATAGGATTGTTAGAGTGTCCACTGTCATGGCATCCAAATGCGTAGTGCAAGGCAAGGAGCTTGTAAGGGGCCGGCATCCACCCGCCGTTCCTGACGGGGACGTCGTGGTTCTGCAGTGTCCAGGCCGACTTTTTGCGTCGGCGGCTAGGCAGAGGGTGACTGCGCTGGCGATGGATGGCATGAGCGGGGGTACCTTTGGGCCGAATTGTGCCACCATGCAGGAGGGGGATGGATGAGGGACGCGGCCGAAGGAAAATGAGGATGAGGTGGGCGGCTCAGGGATCAGACCGCTCTCCGAGCGTGTGGCGTGGCCGGCCCCGCCGCCCAGCGCGCGGCGGCTGCTGCGTCGACGAACTGGGGGCGGTGGGGCCCAGTGCGAAGACGAACCACTCCTACATTCACACGCACACACACACACCTACACACATACCCGCACCCGCACCCAGACGCGCACTTGCGCACGCACGCGCACACGCACACGCATACGCACACGCACACGCACACGCACACGCACACGCACACGCACACGCGCTCACACAACCACCCGCATACGCACACGCACACGCACACGCACACGCACACGCACACGCACACACAACCACACGCATAACTACGCACACGCATACGCACACGCACACGCACACGCACACGCACACGCACACGCACACGCACACACAACCACACCCACATCTACACATACACATACACGCATACACATCCACACAGACTTACACAAACACACACACACCGACAAGCGACGACGACGGTGTAGGTCGGCATCGTCGTCTGTGGCGATGACGTCTGTGCAGCGTTGTACACGAAGCGGCATGTTTCCCTGGAGTGCCACCTTCTCTCCCAAACTTGCGCACAACATTTCTGCCTTGGCCCTGGCACTGCTGGCAGAAGAACTAGTAGAGGTACCGTTTCCCAGTGCCTGCCCTTGGCCCTACTTGGGCCCCTTCCTTCCTCCTTTCACATTCTTCGAAGCACGAGTGACAATACGGTCGCACGCAGAAAGAATCTCAAGGACCTTGAGATGCGTTCGCAATTCTTCCCATTCGGCCCATTCCTCTCCTCATTCCCAGTGCACCAGCCCAGTCTCGATCTTCATTGTAAGCGCTGTTTGACCGCCAACTGTAATTGTGTACGGTTGTGCAGTGTCGTCCACGCGTATGGGGTACGCTGTGTTTATGGTGTGCTTCAGCATTTTTTTAGCCCGAAGCATAGGTTCCAAGCGGCTCGGAGTAGAGGCGGGCGGTCTCGAGTCGCCGACACCTGCTTGCCATTCCTCACGTCTTTAGCGCGACGGAAATGAGCGACGGCCAAACATGCTTCTCCTCAATGGTATTGTATGCCAAGTGAGTCATGTCCCAGAGCTCTCCTTTAGCGTAAGTGGTCAGAGGCACTGGTGCGGACGGCCGCTTGGATTCTTCTTTGATCCATTCCTTGGCGACTCCTTCACTCGAGAACCCATCCAAGTTTCTAACAACTGCTGTGAAATCTCTTTTGTCTGCCTGGTACGGTGTTCTTGTACATGTGCCCGTGCTTTTCCGTAATGTGGCTACCTCACGCTCAAGCTCTGCCAATTTGCCATGCGTATCTGTGTCAATGGATGCATCTGATGCGGTCCTCGTGGAAGCTGGCCTCGATGCGTAGTGTGTTTCCATCAACTCCATATGCTTCGTGAGGTCATCCATGTTTGACTTTAGCGGCGCCACCGCGTTCTGCAAATCGTATTGTGAGACGCCGTGCTTTTTGATAGCTGTAATCTCTTGCCAGATCGGGTCCAACGTATTGCATAGACTCCGTTCCACTGCTCGGGTTGTTAATTGCTCGTTCGCACTTCCGGGTGCTCCTATGAGGTCTTGCTCTAACTGTTGCTGACGTTGTCGCTGGAGTCCTTCATAATCATTTCCTGCTTCTGTAAGACCAGCCATTTCATGTGGTGGGCTGCTCGTCCTGGCCTGCTTCAACGCACTTTTCACTGGAGTCCCCATATGGTGTTTTTTCCACCAGCATCTTCACGGAGTTTGGACGCACCCAGAAACAATCTAAATCTGCGTAGTATCAAGAGGAACATAACTGTAGCGGTAGGGTGTGTGGTAACCAGGAAGGTAAGCAGAAAGGTAGATTGAGTTGCACAGGACTTGAGCCCAAACCGAATGCGAATTGCCGCAGTTGCAGTACCCGCGTGGCACCACCGCGCCCGTTTCGGCACACCCCTCATGCGTTTCATGGCCGCATAGGGAGCTCCACCGCAGGCCCCCGTGGCAGCGCCCGCATGGCATCACCGCGCCCGTTTCGGGCACATCCCTTAAACTTTTTGTGGCCCCAACGCGTATTTCACAACGCATTTTTCACAGCTGCATCTGGTTAGGTCTTTCGCCTCTCGCCAGGGTAATTTTTGAGCACGGGGTCCCTGGAGCTCCGGACCATTTCCCGGGACCTGGTTTTGTCGCCCCGTATTGTTCATTGATGGCCCCAGGACCTCGCGAGGCCCCGTCTCAAGGCCGAAAACGGCAAAACACCGCGTCGTGGATTTTTCCCGCATCACGAGGATGTCAGTCAGATTTTTTGGGACCTTCCTGGCTCCGCTCACGAGTCGATGCTGCGGCGAACGTCCGTCGACTCGAGAGTCGAACCTGCGCCGGACTCGAGTCGGGCCTGCGTCGAACTGGCGCCGAGGTAGAGCTGAGGTAGCGTCGAGACGTATCCGAGCTGGAGGCCAGAAGCGGCCAGAGGCGCGAGCGCGCCCTTCCTGGCCGGCTCTGCGACCCTCGGGGCCCTTCCTGGCCCTTCCGAGCGGCCCTCGCGACGCGAGCGCGCCCGGGCCCGTCGGGGCCTCCCCGCCGCGGAGCGCGCCCTTCCTGGCCGGCTCGGCGGGGGTCGCCCCGGCGATGGCACGGCCTCCGCGCGCGGACGCTGCCGCGGCCAGCGCGGAGGCCTCACGGGGGGCCAGCCACAGCTGGGGGAGCTGTGGTCCTTACCCCCCTGGGGGACCCATCAATTTCGGCACCCCTCTCGCTGGTATGACGGTGTACACGATGGTGACGAGGACGCATTCGTCGAGTGTTGCGTTCACGCGTGAGGACCGCCCCCGTTCATTTGAACAGGATTCGCTGTCCACGCCGCCGCGGCCTTGTGTCCATTCGAGACAGAAGGCCGCCTGCCCAACAGCGGCCGCCGTTGGTTTGGGACAGCATTTGTTGTTGGGCACTGTGCCCATTCTTTCCGTGCCCATTTCGGGCGTCCAAAGCGCACGGACGCTGCCGCGGCCAGCGCTGAGGCCTCGTGGGGGGCCAGCCACAACTGGGGGAGCTGTGGTCCTTACCCCCCTGGTGGACCCATCAATTTCGACACCCCTCTCGAGAGATCGTCGACGTGGAGGGTTCCTTCCGGGGGGTAAAGGCCACAGCTCCCCCAGCTGTGGCTGGTCGGCGTGGGGGTAGGGGGGGGGGCTCAGCATCCTTTGACCGGTACCTATCGGGCGTTGAAAGCAGGTATTGTTGGGTTCCCAGGCTCCAATCTGCTTCAAGCGCCCCCCTTCTTCAACGATCGAGTGGCTTCACCCTTTTTCTGTCCTCTTCAGGGGTCGGGCGGAGGCCCAATCTACTTTCAACGCCTTCCCACTTCATGTTTGTCCCTACTTCTTCCGACCGATGGGTACCTATCTCCACCCCCATCCCCATCCCGACTCCCGCCATCCCACCACCCCATTTGGGGATGTGCCCCTCGAAGTCCCAAGGGAGCAGCCCAGATCTCCACTCAGGGGGGTGAATCGGCCAGTGGGACCCAGGCACGCTGGTGGGGATCGGGATCGGTCGAGCGATGCTCAGGGGCGGGTGGGGGGAAGGGAGCGAGGGCGGGAGACGGCGGCAAAGGCAAAGGTCAAACCCTGCCCTCGCCGATCCACGATTCAGGCGACTCGATGATTGGCGTGGGTAGTCTTCGGAACTCATCGATTACAGGCCGAAATTCGAACCCTGCCCCCGCCTCTAATCGATTCGGCGGCGAGTCCGGGGGGGGGAGTGAGAAGGGGCGGGCCTTCTCGGAAGTCTCGGAAGTCCCCCGGCCTTCTGAAGTTTTCTAAGCCTTCCCCGAAGACGCAGACAACTTCTCAGAAGGCGCTACGGCTTCTGAGAAGTTCCGCTGCTTTCTGAGAAGGTCTTCTCCTTCTCACTTCCCCTCTCGCTCGCCGCCCATCGATTCAGGAGAGTCGATGGTTGGGGGGGTAGTGTTCAGAGGAGGAGGAGGAGGAGGAGGAGGAGGAGGAGGACGGAGTAGGAGGCAGGAGGAGGAAGAGGAGGATGAGGATGATAATGACCAGTGTAATCCAAATACCACTGTGTGGCAATTCCGTCGGAAGACCACCGTCTGAGAAACTTCAGTCGTGCCACAACACCATTCTTGGGACTTCGACGCAGCCAATCAACGTTCAGGTTGCGTCCAAATGATCATGCAACGTGCTAAAACACAGTTACTGGGACTTCAATAGCGTCCTGACAAACCTAGATCGTGCCAGAAGACCTTTCCTAAACTTTTCACCATACGAATCTCTGAACTGCAGCAGACTGTTAAGACGAATGTGCGCTGCGCTAAGGCGAGAGCCACATGTTGGAAAGGAGCCGCCCTCCATCCGTCAAAGAGTTGTGACTTTTAACACGAATGTGTTCGGCGCTAAGGCCTGAACCACATGTTGAAGACGAGCCGCCCTCCACCCGCGAAACTGTTGCAAACATTTAAGACGAATGTGTTCGGCGCTAAGGCCTGAGCCACATTTTGAAAACCACCCGCCCTCCATCCGTGAAACTGTTGCAAACCTTTACGACGAATGTGTTCGGCACTAAGGCCTGAGCCACATTGTGAAAACGACCCGGCCTCCCTCCGTGAAGTTGTTGCAACCATTTGAGGCTGAGCCACATTTTGAAAACTACCCGCCCTCCTTTCTTGAAGCTCTTGCCAACTTGTGAGACTAATGTGCGCGGCCCTATGGCGAGAACCACATTTTGAAACCAAACGGTCTTCGTCCCGTGAAGATCCTTGCGCAGTTTTCAAACGAAAGTACGCGGGGCCAAACCGAGAAACACATTGTGAAAACATTCGGCCCGTCATGCGTGGAGTAGTTGCAGCTTTTCATGCTGCAAGGCCATACATTGTCGAGACGTCGCATGCGAAACGCCAGACCTGCTCTACCAACACTGTTCGGGGTGCGACATTGAGTTTTTCTGTTGAAGGACAATGAATGGAGGAGGAGTAGGAAGAGGAAAAGGAAGAGCAGGAAGAGGAGGAGGAGGCGGATGAGGATGAGGATGAGGAAGTGGAGGAGGAGGAGGAGGAAGAGGACGAGGAGGAAGAGGAGGACGAGGAGGAGGAGGAGGAGGAGGAGGAGGAGGAGGAGGAGGATGAGGAGGAGGAGGAGGAGACGGAGGAGGGTGGGGAAGAGGAGGAGGAGGAGGAAGAGGAGAAGGAGGAGGAGGAGGCGGTGGCGGAGGAGGCGGAAGAGGAGGAGAAGGAGGAGGAGGCGGAGGATGACGAGAAGGAGGGTGGAGGACGAGGGTGGAGGAGGAGGGACGGAGGACATGGTCTTCTTGCCGCTGCTCCCCCTCCTCCCCCTTTCTGCATCCTGCCTCCTCCTCCTCCTCCTCCTCCTCCTCCACCACCACCTCCCTCCTCCTCATCCCTCCTCCTCCTCCTCCTCCTCTTCCTCTACGTCCTCCTCCTCCTCCTCAGCTCCTCCTCGTCCTCCTCCTCCTGCTCATCCTCGGTCTCCTCCTCCTCCTCCTCTGCCTTTTCCTCCCCGTCCTCCTCGTCATAGCAATGCCGCTCCCAAAGGTATCGCCTTCCCGCGCGGCGTGCTCGGGAGCGGAACGTGCGGCGGTGTAGGGACCCTTTGAGCGGAAAGGGCACGGATCATTGGCAAGCAGTGGCGCCACCGAAAACAGCGGTCGCGCTCCCACGCGGCCTTCCCCTCCTGTGGAGTCGTGGCTCTACCTGGAGTGGGACACGCGACACGGTTGGGAGTTGCCCAGAAGAAGAGGGCACATTTCCCGAGAAGTAATGACTCTGCCGATGAGGTGGCGCGCTCCCACGGGGGCCACGGAATGGGACGCCAACGATCCCTGATCAGGAGTGGGAAGGGCACGATCCCTGATATGGGAGTGCGATGGAGTTTGCCAAAGCCACAGGAGCGGTGTTCTGACGGACGCGATCTCGTGTTGCCAGGACGCAACAATCACATTGGCTCGCCGTGTTGAGTCCCAGGAATTGTGTGTTGGCACTGTTTAGGAACGCCATGGTGCACCAAGCAACGTTGGTTCGCGGCGCTGAAGTCCCAGGAGCGGTGTTTTGGCACGGTTGAGGATTCTCAGACGGTTGTCTTCCAATGGGGCATTTTCCGCACCGGCTACAAATGCTTGGGGGGCCTACGAAAAGGGAATTTGGACGGAGGGTCTATTGAAACACCGCTGATGCGTCTTAGGTTTACACTGTTCCTCTTCCTTCTGCTCCCTGTTCCTCCTGCTCCTACTCCTCCTCCTGCCCCTCCTCCTCCTCCTCCTCCTCCTCCTCCTCCTCCTCTCCTTCTCCTCTTCCTCCTTCTCCTTCTTCCTCCTTCTTCTCCTTCTCCTTCTCCGCCCCCTCCCCCGTCGTGAGGCAGGCAGGAGCCCCATGCTGCATGTATCGCGGCCCGCGTCGCGTGTCGTGGCAAGGGGCCATCAGCAGGGTGGTGGAGCCGAACGGCACAGTCATCGCTGGCTGTGCGGGGGCCACGACCCCTGCGAGGATGCTGCTGTTCAGCGTCCTGCGCAGGGCGGCTGCTGGCTCCCCCCACAGTGTGCATCAAACATGTCATAGATGATGTGCCACTGCATGCGGTGGGAGGTGCCGACGCCACATGCAGCGAGCTCACTCATTCTTGTTGCTCCATCGTGGCGGATTTTGAGCGCATGGGCCTCCCAGCAGCCCCCCAAACAAGCCGGGACTCCTCTCGCCATCGCCTGTGCTAACAACGTGCGGCCATCCTCACGTCTTGGGAGAGGGACCCTGTCACAGGCCCTCTCTGGCTCGTCGTGGTGGTGTTTTCGGACCGACCCACGGGAGGGGTGAGGCCCACAGGCCTCCTTCCTCTGTGGGCCCGAGCGTGGAGCAGAGCTCGCCACCGACTCTGCGCGGACTGGGAGCGCGAGGTAGATGGCAAGTTTTTCTGGGGCGTGAGCTCCAGCACGGCCTGCGACACGGGTGCCTGGGCGCACACCGCTTTGGCCTCCTGTGCCAGGGAGGTCCCCGGCCTCAGCACGGGCACGTGATGCCTGGGTGGCGTATTCGGAGCTGGGCGTGACCTCGAAGGCCCTGTGGGGGGCCAGCACGCAGGGGCTCCCCGGTGGCGAGCTCGAGAGGCTCCATGTCTCGGCGCGTCGCGCTGCCGGCCGCCTCCCAGAGGGATGCGCACTCGAGTTGGCCTCCGCGTGCTCCGGACGTGGGCGGTCTCGGGGCCCGTTCGTGTGGAGGAGGAGGAGGAGGGGGAGGAGGAGGAGGAGGAGGAGGAGGAGGAGGAGGAGGAGGAGGAGGAGGAGGAGGAGGAGGAGGAAGAGGTGGCCACGTCGGATGCTACCCGCACGTTCTGCCAAGAGTTCTGCAGGATCGGCGCCTCCCGCCTGCAGTCCTCGAGTGGCTCTCTGGGCGAGGCAGGGGCCTCCTTCAGGGGGCCGCTGCCTGGGCAGAGGCCGAGGATCCTGTGGCGGCCCTTGTCCTCGCCTGCGCTCGTGCAGGCTTCTTTGTCGATGACCCGTGGACCCTCCGTGAAGCCACTGAGGAGCAAAGGGACCTCCGCAAGGTCTCACCAGCGTTCGTGGCACGCAGGGCACAGTTCGCGGCTCGCAGGTTTTTGGATGTCGAAGGCCTGGCCACGATAGGTCAAGGCAAGGGATGGCGAGGCCATTTTTTT